CATGGACGCCGCCATGTTGCATGTTGCTTGTCACTAACTACCATGGGTAACCGGTTGTTTGTTCCCGGCGTTCGAGCGGCCGACCCACGAACAACAAATCGAGCTGTTCGTGAACATACGAGAACAAGCCGCCCGAACTCAACCGTGGAATGCGTACGTGTACAGGTGGAGGGGTTGGAGCTACTGTCCACGCCATGCGTAGAAGGGGAGGGGTCTAAAAAGTCGGCATTTTGTGCGTACGTACTTCATGGGCGGCCCCTTACTGTTAAACCACAGAGAACCGCGCGCACTGAGCACAAAGACAAACTGCATAAAGTTTGCCCACGTTAGTTCGTTAGCTGTAGCGGGACGGGGACCAGTCCAGGGCATGTATGCCGCGCCGCAGGGACGTAGCCATAGGAGTGGGGGGAGGGGGCTGGGGGAACGTCCCCCCCCCCATTCCCGGTACCCCACAGGTGTCCCCCACTAAAAACAAAACAAACGTTTACCCACCTCCACCCCCCAAATAAACCCACACCACTGAAAGCTGGTGTTCCCTCTGCCCCCTCCCCTTAGTAAAATCCTAGCTACACCACTGCGTGCAGGCACTCCTCCTCATTACGTAAGTATCCAAAATTTTGGGAAACAAAAATACAGCATGTAAATGTCTACTGTATGTACGGGGACGAGATTGACAGAATGATGATTGCAAGCAGCACGAGGCATTCCCACACGTCAGTTTGGACAGGCAACCAGTTTACCCCTACCGTCACGAACTTGTTCTGGCTTGACTATCGCGCGCGGGTTTTGCAAGTTCAACGCCCCCGCGTTGTATTGTAATGATGGGTACGTAGGCTATTTCTTCGGTGCAAATGCTGTAGCAACAAATATCTACTCGCCAGTATATGTTTATTTCGGCTAATAACTTGTCTAGATTTTCTGCACAGTTGTAAAAGGTAGGTGGCTGGAGGCTAAGACTCAACATAAATGCATGATGTAGAATTTCTAGAAATTTTTCTCTGGAGCTGGGCGAAATTCACTGCATCATCATCATGCACCGCTGACTTTTAGTTTTAGTATTACCGGGCGTGATATTACGGCCCGAGTACTATATTAAGCCTACTTGTGTAGTACTTGTAGTACTCGTAGTTATGATCCCTAGAGGATGTCTCAGGAGGAAACCAACCAAGTACCAACAAGTATTAGGAGCAGTGTTGTAGTACTCGTACTCGAGTACTACTTGAGTACCGTTTTTCAGAGTACTCATACTCGGACGTCCAAGTACTCGTACTCGAACTACATGTACAGTTCTTGTACTCGGGCTACAAAATACTCCGAATTCGACATCCAACAATTGTTCTCGAGCATCAAAGTACTCATACTCGATTAACACTATAGTACTCAATAAAATAAGGTACAAAAATATCGACTCCAATCACCCGATATTCGATACGGTTCTGACAAAAAAAGGCCGAATGTGGGACCATTAACGTATGCGACCCATTCGCCGTCTGTGGGCGTACTTAACCAATCACGTACGCAAATTATATTGTTGTACTTCAGAATGGTCCGGCAATTTGCTTGGGCATTGGTAGTCTGGTTCCTGGACCCGAAAATTCTATCAACGAACCCAGCATACAGAAAATCAAAGGCATGTGAATAATTGAGTCTGGAAAATAGACTTCACCGCGCCGTGCACGTTGTGTCAACTGCTGCAACGCACGTGTAGTGACCGTGACATTGCTAGCCAGATCACTTGTTCTTGTAGCCATGTCATCTGCATTCGGTGTTTCTTTTACACAGTGGCAGGACTTAGAGTCTCTAATTCAAGATAAAACTGCTTTTGAATTAGAAGTACTCGTCCTCGGAATTAGAAGTACTTGTACTCGTACTCGGAAGTGTAAGTATTTGGTACTCGGAAACCAATAGTACTTGTACTCGGCTGGCAAAGTACTCGCCCTGTCTTTGTACTCGGCAGTCAAAGTACTCGGCAGTACTTGGTACTCAGAAAAAAGTACTCGACTACAACACTGGTCAGTAGGCCTATAAGTAGCCCCACTAGTGTGGCACGGACTTTCACTCCCATTCCATCCTTAGCCTCACATCCGTATGCGCAATTTTGTGTCAGCGTACTGAACATTTTCGGCGCACCCACTTATCATCGTGGGTGCAATTTCTTTTGCACACGAACATGATTCTTGACCTTTCCGCTTTCTAAAAACTATTTATTGAATGATTTCACTCACGTTATTGAGGTATTTTCCAGTCTTTTTGCCTTTATCCATTCAATCTAATGGGCTCGCTTTCACAGTCGCCATCTTTAAAATAAGGTCGTTGAACAATACGTCACTTGACCCCTCATCGTCTCGACGGCTCTTCCATGTCAAGACATCTAAACTGCTGCCAAAGTTTTGGAAGAGCCCATTGGTACATGTAGTATCTTATCGCTCAGTCCGTTAATTACATATGTCTTTGAATGTCTTTCCGATGTATGGCACCTTGAAAAAATGTTATTCAAATTCAATTTCACTAGTTCCTTCTTCGTCTGTCGCGCAAGGTATGACAAGGTACCAGTTTTGTATGGTACAACATAGACAGAAAGCCTGCCAGGTGCCTTGAAATCCGACGCACGAAGCGCTGCCTTAGTTTTTCAAAATGGCGCCGCCCATGGTCAGCATTTAATAGTACAGGCCGGGTTTTTTCAAGGCACCATACATCAGAAAATTTACGATTCTGGAAAGCTTTAGGGTGCTCGTATGAAAGTCCAAACTCTGAGAAATACGCCGTTGTAGTAAAATTGTCAAGTCATTCTCATTTCGGAAGATATTAGGATTCAAAGCTTGTGACATTGACAATCAAGTAGGGCTGTGGTGGCGACAGATAAGAGACAGATTGTAAAAGAGAGTCACTACAGCCTATCCCCGTGGGGCTGTCCCCGACCGTACTAGTACCCTACTAGGTTAGTACCAGTACGAGTCGTAATGAAAGGAAGACAACGTCCAACCTGGGCTAGTCCCCTAACTAACGTAGTGCACATCACTCACACAGCCTTGCCAAACATCTGTCTTGAGTCTTAAAACTCATATGTTTATCATTTGGTCTTGTTAACTTCCCTACTCAGATGATGTCATTTGACATCTTCCTATTTTTTTCTTTTTTAAACATCAACTATATTGTTTCTTGAACAATATTTCTGTCAGATATCAATCATCATGGCAGCAAATGGTGGGGAGGAAGGTATTACTGGTTGGCAGTGGGAGGGCGACAAACAGGTCTGGACGGCCTTCTCTGCCGAGCACAACGATGCAATCAATGACGCCCATCACAACGGGAAGACCAGCATCAAGCTGACGGCCAACAACTGTCAGATTGAAGTGAAACTGAGCGACATGGTGCAGCGCAACTGTAAAACTGGATGGGAGCGTAGAATAAGATGTGCCCTGCAGGATGAGACCGGCGATTGTAAGAATTTTTCTGTCAGACAGTTGCTTTTTTTCCTTTAACTTATAAACCCCTACCATTTCAATGCTCATGACTGATTTTGCTTGCATTTCAGGAATATGTAATTACTTTCTTTGTGTCAAATATGAATGATTTGGAAAGGCAGAGAGAGTTTCTCTTTTTATAGGGAATTGAGAAAGAATAGACTTCAATTATCCTGGATCCTTAAAATCCAAGAGTTTTTTTTCAGTATTGGGACTGTAGAGCACAGTGATTACAATCTTGTGTCGAGCTTGATACTCCTCAAAATTTGAGATAAAGAATGTGCTGCCTAGTTCCCTTTCACGGGAAGAGTTTTTGGGGATCTGGAGAAGTGTAAGGGTAAAAACACCAATTCTGAGTGATTTTTTTGCTTGAAGCACAGGAATTTCTAACACTTTGTTGCCCGTAGATTTTGTTTGGGAGTGGCAGGACGATAAGAAAAGGTGGAATGCCTACGGCCTGTCTGCTTGCACTGAGATCGAGGCCGCCCACAAAGGGTCATGTGACAGCCTCGACCTGGTTGTTGCCCATCGAGCGTACCAGGTTGACTTGCAAGCTATGGAACAGGTCAACCAGACGACGAAAGTGAAGCGTAAGATCCGTCGACTTCAAATAGGTATGGCCCCCTGGATGCAAGCCACTCTGCCGCACAATTTTACCTGTGTGCTTGGATAACAACCTTCTTTCATGTGTCATGAACTTTACTGTAGGATTTTATATGGCATATGCCATGGTCACACCTGTGTCGTGTCCAATCCATGTAATCATGCTGACCTAGCTAATTTCATGTTTTTCTCCTTTCCTGAAATCGTGGAAGGCTTGCCTACCATGCCTACCTTGCGCCTTTCAACCACACTATTGATGCGTACTCGCTGCTACCCCCATGTGGGCTTGGTCTTATGAATTAGTAAGAGGGACCTATTTGTACTTGTGTGCGTACCTGCATACTGACTGAACTGATTAGTTGCTGTACGTGCAAGAACAGTTGAGGATGTTTTGCATCTACCCACAAATATCACATCAGAACTTGTCTAGGGGTGTGGCCAGGTGAATAGGGTTTGTGTTATTAACTCCTAAACAATGTTGTAGAGATTTGAGTCCAGCAGCCAGCTCTATATTGTAGCAATGACCTTGTGACCTTGATTGGTAACTTGACTCCCACTTTGCATTTCTCCACCCATGGGTATGAATGGGTACCTGTCAGGGAAGCAAGGGTGGTTGCTTGATTAGCTGCATGTATTTGTACCTGAAATGGAAGCATCAAGCTGTAGTCTCCAAAGGGAGCTGAGATGGATCAAAGAATGCTCTATGCCTGACAGACAGGGGTAATAGTAATGACGAGGCACCTCGGGCACTGATCTTGGTGGATGTGTGCACATTTTAATTATCCATTCTTATTTTCATGAGAGCAATAGCATGCCTGAATTAGTTGAGCCTCAGATATGGAAAGAGACTGGGTGCCTGACCAGGGCTGCATTTTATGTCCTTGTTGCAGCTTTCAACCAAACAAAACAGGATATTCATTTTATTGGGAATAAGAGTAACATGGAGAAAGCATTGGAACCACCAACTCAAGTCAGTTCGGTTCCGGAACCAAAATAAGCAACTCTATGGAGTCACCAAACTTCTGTACGTCCCCAAGGGCAATGGGATTCCACAATACAGTGTAATTAACATGACACTAACATTTCAGGGCTGTTCTTTGGTAATGATCGGCCTGTATATGTGTATTTTATCGCCATCTGTCATAGATTACAAAGTGCCACCAGCACAGCAGTCCACCAAAGCCCAGCCAGTGAAGAGGGCCCACTCTAGCACAACAAGCAAGGCATCAACCAGCAGAGCCAATGTGAAGGCGGAGCCGATGGAAATAGAGGAGGAGGAGGAGGTTAGACCTGCCAAGTCGGCCAGGAAGACAAAGAGTCAGGGACCAGGCGAAGGTACTAGTATAAACAAACAACCTGTTTAACCGTCACCGTACCAGTCAAGGTTTGGGTCACTGGCATCCAACCGTCGATTTTCCCTGGTAATTAGGATGTATTTAGTGTACAGGGGACCAGGGAAAATTGATCGGCAGTCAACAAAATTTGTGGATCACTTGAACTTGCCTTTTTCTGAAGGCTCTTTACCCTCTTATGCTCTTAAGCAAGACACTTTACTGCAATAACTCCTCCCAATTAGAAGTATAAACTGGTACCTGTGAGGGCAGCGAATGAAATGAATCTAAAAATGTGATTGCATGACCCGATGGTCAGTTTTGTCATTGTAGAGAACGCATTTTGCAATATTTGTAAAAACGTAGCGCAAGCGTAACTGATGTTTATTTCTTTTGGGGTTTTTGCCTGTGCAGCCGTCAAAACTGTCCGCCTGGCCGCCAGCCACAAGGCACCCGTGGACAGCGAGTGCCACCAGATGCAAGGGAAGGCACACGTGTACATCGAAGGAGACGACATCTACGATGCGATGCTTAATCAGGTATGCTCAGTTCTTGTCCTGAGGCCCCCTTAGCCAATTTCAGTACTGAGGCACAAATCAGCTGGAACTCAGTCACAAGCATCCGGTACACCTTACATGATGGATTGGCTGGCATTCTGCCTTTGCCTAGAAAACACTGTCTTTGCTTCTCCTTTAATAGCATCACCTTGACAACCGACCTCATTAATGGGTCGGCCAAATGGAAATTGAAAGCAAAGCTAACTTTTCATGCATGGAACTTGAGAGTACCAACAAGAAACAATGAAATTTCCTGACTCCTTTGTATCTGTCAATTCTGAACAATTTCAGTTTGTGATAAAACTGGTTCTTCATGCCAGATTTTGGAAAAAAAAATTGAAAGGGAGGCGTGAACCCACGATACCAACTGCTGTTCTTTTTATGGTCGTTTGGTGGTCATGCTCAAACATGTCACGTGCCTCAGCTTTAAAAGAGTTAAAAGCTTGGCATTCCTTTGCTTTGTTTCTAATTCCGCGCTGATATTTTTCCCCTTGTCTTACAGACTAACCTGCAAAATAACAACAACAAATACTACGTCATTCAACTACTGGAGGATAACGTCAAGAAAATGTACCATGTTTGGTTCCGTTGGGGACGAGGTAGAATGTTGACATATTTATTCTCTCTCAGTGAGCTTCCTGACTTAGCTAAGCTCCAAACACTCTGCATTAAACTCAGGATACATTCTTTGGACTTGAGGCATTAGCTTGGAAGAAAGTGGATACGCTGGACATCGTTTAAACGTCAAGAAACTTTGAAAATACCGTTGCTCTTATTTAAGAATCACCAACTGTTGCATGTTAGTGAAATAAAAATCTGCCCAGGATAAGATCAAGTTTATAACAGTTTCGAAGAATTAAGAAGTTTAAGTTATTCTTGTGCAGTCTCACAGTCTTAAATACTTGCCAAACATTGTTCTAAATTGCTCATGATTGAAGGCTGCATTGAGATTGCATGTAGTTGATTTTTAGAGACGTCAAGTTGCATTCCAGCTAAAATGCCCAGGGTGTTAGGGGTTGAGATTGAATATGGAGTACCGTGTTGAAAAAATTTGATCGGAAAGTCAAGGTGTTTGCACTGTGTTCTGCTTCTTCACAGTCGGGAAGGCAGGCCAAAACAATCTCGTCGCTTGTGGCCACGACCTCACAGAAGCCAAGAGCCTATTTGAGAAGAAGTTCTACGACAAGACGAGGAATGAGTGGTCACTGCGAGACGGCTTTCAGAAAGTTGCTGGGAAATATGACATGCTGAAGATGGACTACTCGGTGGATGATAAGGTAAAAAGAAAGATGGTGTTGCAGTGTAATGGCCACTATTGTACCAGCAAGAATGAATCCAGTACATTGCAAGAAATGACCACTATTGCACTACCAAGAATGAATCCAGTACATTGCAAGAAATGACCACTATTGCACTACCAAGAATGAATCCAGTACATTGCAATAAATGACTACTATTGCACCACCAAGAATGAATCCAGTAAGAAAGTGTGCTCTAGGGTACAGATATCTACTAGTAAGAATCAACGATGTAAGCCCCTTACCTCTTGTAGATTGGGTAGAATAGAAGTCCTTAATAATAGTTACTGAATTACCATATTTCCAGCATATTTGTTTGCAGGTGGTACGGATATATCACGACCACTGTGAAATTGAATATTTGATTTTCGACTTCTGTAGAAAATGAAGCTCGGTGGTTTCATTTGTGCATTAACAAGCCAAGAGTTCCATTGTTTCATTTCATCTTTGTAGAAACTGTTTACAAATTCAAAATGTTGGGTAACGCTACTTTGTAGGGAAAGGGAGACGAACCTGACGCTGGCAAGGTGAAGAAGGAGCAGGTGGCTTCCAAACTGGACAAGAAGGTTCAAGTAAGTGACGGCTGTAGCAAACACTCATACAATCAGAAATTTCAGAGGTGCTTGGAGGCACTTCCTCAGCCCCAACATTCTTAGACATTTTGCTGTCTCTACTCTCCAAAATCCAAAACTAACATGGAAAATCCGTGGCATGTTCGTTGTACTTGCTGCTTGCACTTGCAAGTAGCAATGAGCTCTGTGCTGGGGAATAGTGGCTAGGCTCTGCCTGCCTCGGTCCTGCAAAATCTTTCCAGACCTCCCAATGAATCTGTGGAGAATTTGGAAAGGTAAGGCTGGGATAAAGACAAGCAGTTTGGTTGATGGTGGTTTATTGCATCTCAGAATGCTTTTGCATGTTCCACTGGCAATGCCAACTGTGCTAATTGGGAATGCACTCTGGTCTCTCTGGAAATGGCTGGAAAACATTGAACATTCCCATATGCAATTCAGACCTGACCATCTGACCAATTGACCTAAAATTACGCCAAAAAGAGTCGGGCCACTGCCAGCATTTCATGCTTGTCCATACTGGACAGTGTATGTCGTCAAGTTCCTAACGTGGCCCCTCACAAATCCAGTCACATGTCCCTACCCTAGACCAGTCACAAATAGCTGTGTGAACAATAACAAAAGAATGCTTTTGTTTCACTTTGTTTGAATAGCTTGTGACTTGGTTTAAGACTGAAAGACTCGTGACGGACTTGTAGGGACTTGTGATGGACCAACTACAACAGTGCTGCTGGCTCTGCAAACTCAATTCTGTTCAAGCAAGTGTCCGTCAATCGTTTCTCTCATTGCTTTATCTTCTCTGTCCTTGTCCCCGTGCTAGGATCTGGTCCAGCTGATCTGCAACATCCAAGCCATGGAAGACATGGTGGTAGAGATGAAGTACGATGCTCAGAAGGCGCCCCTGGGCAAACTCACACAAGACCAGATCAAGGCGGGCTACACGGCGCTCAAGAAGATCGAGCAGTGCATCAACAGCAAGACAGTGGGAGATAAACTCATCAAGGCCTGCGACGAGTTCTACACGAGAATACCTCACAACTTTGGGTAATTGAAATGAGCGCCCCCCTCTGTTAACTGGAATGAATAAACTAATGTACAAAAGTCTTTTTTTTTTTGCCAAGCCAACTCAAAGGAGGTAAAAAAAAAGCAGTATTTTAAAAAAATGTCTCAGGTTGATTTTTCTGAGAAGAGCGAAAATCAGACTTTCACGATCTGACTTGAGCGGGGAATTTTATTAAGAATAACAAAAGAAATCAAATAATCCAAGCAATTTTATCCAAGGTAAGTGAAAATCTTACTTACACGAATCTGACTTGTCCGAGGTTTAGTGTACTTCTTTTTCACTGCTTTTTACTTTGTCGTGTCTCTGGACGTTTCATTTTCAAAAGTTTCTTTGCAGGATGCGGCGTCCACCGGTCATCAAAACAAAAGAGGAGCTGAAAGCTAAGATAGCATTGCTAGAGGTGAGATCCTGTGTGTGAGATGCTTTGTGTGTGATGTCACATGATGTCACATGAAGGAATTACAATATAGGCTATTACCAGTCTGATGGAAACGTTCCTTGTGGAGCTTAATTTGTAAAAGTGTCAGACTAAATTTCCACCATGAGCGTGACACGGCAGAAAAAAAGTATAGTAATGTCAGGGCTGAGATTTAACAGGTTTTTCCCAATTTCAGGATTTTTTAAAACGATATCTTTCAAAATCCAGAAAATTCTGAAGTTACCATTGAAGTTTTGTAGTTGCAAAAGTTAAAAAGAAGCACAAAAAATGGGTATTTTAAGGAGTATCTTTAAAGCAAA